CCTGGAGCAGAGGCGCATCAGGCGCCGGCAGGGCAGGCTGGTCCTGCGGTGCAGTGCGGCCCTGGGAGAGACGGCTGTGCGCCGACGCCTAGGTGCGGGAGGAGCGCACGGTGCCGTAAGAGCGGCTGGAGCGGTCCCGATCGTGACGACTCCTTCCCCAAGACTTCGACCTAGAGGAGGTCGAGACATATATGTCCGAGGAGCTGTCCCTGGATTCATTGCGGCGCCTGTGGCCACGGTGCCTCGGTGCCGGGGACTCTCGGGACGCACCACAAGCATGGTGTCTGTGACGGCGGGCGCCCGAGTAGGAGCATTGGTGCCGACGGCATCGCGACCTGTCCCTCTCGGACTCGCTGGAAGAGGAATGGCGCTGTCTCTTGCCTCCTCCTCGACGGCGCTCAAGGCCGGAGGAGTGGGATCCGCTCTTGGAAGAGTCCAGACGCGGAGTCGACGCGGGGCTCTAATAGGCACCTTGACCAGGGAAGGTGCCTCGGCCTCCGACACCTCCGGGGAGTGCTGATGGGCGCCCAAATGCGGCTTTCCACGGGACCGGGGGCCCGACTGCAGCGGCGCTCCCGGCACCAGAAGTGTCAGTATATCGCGCGCGGCCTGAGCTGCCTCCAGCGTCGAAGGCAGGTGTACCTCCGGTGAAGCTCGCGTGGACGGGACTGGACTACTCCGCTCAGCGCGAGTCGGAGGTCTCTGTCCCGGTGGGGATCGTGGGCTGCCCAACTCGGGTCTGGCCTCACCCCTGTTCTTCTCCCGGCGCCGCTGAGACTTCCCTGGCTTCTTAGCTGGGGAGCGGTGCTGTGACGTCGACGGTGCTTCGCTGCGCACCGAGGAGGCGGTGCCTGGTGCCAATTCAGAACGGTGCACTGGAGGCGCCTCACCACGTGCCGATGACGCGGAGCCCGGCGCGGTGTCAGATCGACGCGCTGGTGCCAGGGCCAATGCCGACTCCATTAAAAGAGCCCGGAGTCGGATCTCACGCTCCTTCTTTGTCCGTGGCTTGAAGGAGCGGCAGATCTTGCACTTCTCACTAACGTGAGACTCGCCCAGACAGCGAAGACACTGATTGTGGGGATCGCGTCTGGGCATAGAATTGCGACAGGAGTCGCACGACTTGAAGCCTGGGCCACGGGGCATGCCCCGAGCCAGGCACTCACGAAAGAAAGTTCAATAACGGAGAGAGATCAGTGAACCGGATACCACTAAGCTAGATACGCTGCAGCTACACTAAGCTGGAGCAAGTTCCGACTACCTTCACTGGCGGCAAGAAGGAACTGAGGGTGGGGGGAGCGCGCAGCCCCCTTTATGGCGTGATATACCGGCGCCACTCCAGGGGTCGCAGCGGTGCTCCCCCACTACGGATACTGCTAAGGGAAAAACTTCCGGCACCGGTGCACGTGGCGAGCACGCACACCTATAGTGGAATACACATGAGCAATCACTCGAAGAAGAACAATCAGAAGAACAATCTGGAATGAGTCCTGCAGAAAGGGATCTGGGGGTCTGGTGGACCACAAGCTAAATATGAGTCAACAGCGTAACACTGTTGCAAAAAGAAGGAACATAATTCTTGGCTGTATTAGCAGGAGCGTCGTAAGCAAGACACGGGAAGTAATTCTTCTGCTCTACTCCGAGCTGATTAGGCCTCAACAGTTCGGGGCGCCACATTTCAGGAAAGATGTGGACAAATTGGAGAGAGTCCAGAGAAAAGCAACAAAAATAATGAGGGGTCTAGAAAACATGAGCAATGAGGGAAGACTGAAAAACTCGGGTTTCTTTAGTATGGAGAAGAGAAGACTGAGAGGGGACATGATAGCAATTTTCGAGTACATAAAAGGTTGTTACAAGGAGGAGGGAGAAAAATTGTTCTTCTTAACCTCTGAGGATAGGACAAGAAGCAATGGGCTTAAACTGCAGCAAGGGCAGTACAGGTTGGACATTGGGAAAAATGTCCTGTCAGGGTGGTTAAGCACTGGAATAAATTGCCCAGGGAGGTTGTGGGATCTCCATCATTGGAGGTTTTTAAGAGCAGGTTACACAAACACCTGTCAGGGATGGTCTAGATACTTAGTCTTGCCATGAGTGCAGGGGACTGGACTAGATGACCTCTTGAGGTCCCTTCCAGCCCTACGATTCTATGATGGCTGGTATGACTCTACAAGGACATGTGATGTGACCACATGTCTCTAGACTCCATCTTGGGATGTCAATAATTTTCCACAGACCAGTCTCGGAGCCAAGCTTTGACACAAAGGGCTAAAAGCTACATAAGGGAGGGAGTGACATCATCTGGGGTTCTTCACGCCCTACCCAAGACTCCTGGAAACACCTGAGGAACAAAGACTGACCTGAGGGAAGTGCTGGACCCAGGCTAAAGGGATTTTTAGCCTGTGACTGGAGCCTGGGGATCCAAGTGGTAAGCAAGTGTGGCTTGCCCCTTAAGGATCTGCAGCCTGCTTGTATCATCTCGTAGGGTGACGATCTGCTATTCAGAGCCGATCTATGTAGTATATTGAGCTTAGTTTGCGGTTTTTGTTTATTTTCTAGGTAATCGGCCTTGATCTGTTTGCTATCCCTTAGAATCACTTAAAATCTATCGTTTGTAGGAGATTCCCAGAGCGTACGCTTCTCCCCCCAGCTTAGGACCCCCACTTCTCCTGCTCAGACTGGCTCCAGCTAAGGTGATGGGAGCCCAGCCCAGCCCCCCATCTCAGCCCCCAGCGGCCAGTTACTCACTTGGATGGGTACCTCCACATTTTGGGCAGCTTGTCCTCAAACGAGGCCCAGTTCTTCCTCTTGGGGTCGACAAAATACTCGTAGACGGTGTCCTGGAGGGAGCAGGGAGAGCCCGTGAGGGGCCCAGGCCTAGGAGTGCCCAACGCGCGGCCAGGACAGGAGCCGGAGCTGGGGCCCATCAAGGGGATCAGGCCCTGGGCTCAGCAGAGCCTTGGAGCTGGGGACTACGGAGGGCTTGAGGTGTCAATGCCGTGAAGAGAGATGGGAGCGGGGCAGGAATGGGAGGAAATGACATGGAGCTGCTCACCCCCGGCAAGCGCTGTCCCTGTTCCCTTCCCCTATTGGCCATTCCCCTCCCATCACCCTCTTGGCTCTGCTCTGGTCACAGCACCACCGTTCCTCTGGGCTCCCTCGTGCCCACAGAGAGGGAGGTCGCCTGCGTGGGGAGACGCGCCAGGGACCTTGTTAGGGAAGGAGCCTTCCATCTCTCGCAGGTAGCTGTCAATCTTCTTCCTGCCCTCCTCGTCCACCGCCGCGCACACAGACCAGATCATGCTGAAGATGAAGTACATTTCCACCACTGTGGTGTAGTTCTCGCCATCTGCTGGGTTCACCTGGAGAGCAAGAGATGGGAACCTCGCGCTGAGCTGGCTTTCTAACCTTACCGCAGGCTACCAGAGCATTCCCCATAAACACGCATTGACACACCCGGAACATAGGGTGACACAACAAGAAGTGTTCTATATTGATGTACCCAGAACATCAGGATGCACAGTGGGAGCGTTCTAGGTTGATGTACCCAGAACATCAGGCTGCACAATGGGAGCGTTCTAGACTGACGTACCCAGAACATCAGGCTGTACCATGGGAGTGTTTTAGGCTTACATACCCAGAACATCAGGCTGCACAATGGGAGCGTTCTAGACTGACATACCCAGAACATCAAGCTGCACCATGGGAGCGTTCTAGGCTGGCATACCCATACCCTGAACCCTTAAATCAGCAGCTATGATGGGTGAGTTGTAGGTTGACACACCCAGAACCTTTAAGCTCTGTGAATCAGTCTTTATTTCTTCTCTCCCTACATGGTACTTGTGTATCCTCCAAGCTCAGGAGGCTTTGCTGGCCAATGGTACCAGAACATAAGAATAGAACATAAGAACGGCCAGACTGGGTCAGACCACAGGTCCATCCAGCCCAGTATCCTGTCCACCGACAGTGGCCAATGCCAGGTGCCCCAGAGGGAGTGAACCTAACAGGTAATGATCACGTGATCTCTCTCCTGCCATCCATCTCCACCTCTGACAAACAGAGGCCTGGCTAATAGCCATTAATGGACTTAACCTCCATGAATGTATTGCCCCGGCAGTCGGGGGGACGAGAACACGGAGAGGCTGAGAAACAAGGGGGTGCCAGAGCGCTAGCTACTAGGGACGATTCTTAAACCAAACTGCTACAGAAACCCCCTGCTCTGGATTCCGAAGGGCCGGCTTCCCAGTTCCCACAGCTGGGTACCTCTGTTGACTTAAGCAGAGTCACTCCTGGTTTACGCCAGTGGAAACACAGTCAAGGAGTGGAGCTCATGCTTATTACCATGCCCAGACACACACCAAGGGGTACCAGGGGTGCAAAGGAGCCCGCCAGTGCTCTGAGCGATGGTAGCAACAGGCGGAAAGGCAGCCAATGAGAGCGCGAGGGCGGGCTCCCGCCTGCTACCTACCCCATTCTCTGGGGTGGCCAGAGCAGAGAAGAGCTTGCAGAGTGACACGATCCCGCTGTACTCGGGGATGGGGACCAGCTCCTCGCAGTTTTCCTTCTTGAAGGTCAGCATCTTGTCGATGAACTTGTCAAACATCCGCTGCAGAGCTTCCGTCTCCCCCTGAGGAGTGAGGGGCCCAGAGCAAAGCTCCCGCACGGCCGGTTTGGGCTATTCCACTCCTGGGTCCCCCACCACACCCGACCTGCAGCCCCTCCCCCAGCTCCAGCCCTGGACTCCCCCTCACTCCCAACCCGCAGCTCCAGCGCTGGGCTCACACCCCCGGCTCTGCCGGTGCCCCTCGGCCCAACTCCACCACCCCTAGCGCTGCACTGCGCCCCGTCCCATTCCCTCCACACTCCCGAGGACCTTGGGGCGCTTCTCGATCCAGGAGTGGACGTAGGGTTTCCAGCCCAGGTCGCTGTAGTCCGTGTAAACCATCCCGCAGCGGGAGACGGTGGCGGGTGAGGCCACCGCTAGGTTTTCCACCTCGAAGAGCAGCGAGACCTAGAGAAGGGACAGGATCAGTCGGGGCAGCGCGCGGCCTTCCTGGCCCCGGCCCTAGTGCTCAGAGCCGCCCCCGGGGGGACTTGCCTGCTCGGGCATGGAGATCCGCTCCCCGTTGATCAGGGTCAAGACTTTGTTGTCGTCCATGACCGAGTTCATGCTCTCGATCCACAGGGTGTCCACCGGCCCGTCAAACAGGATCCACTTCTCATCGGGCTTCTCGTCTAGCGGGACCGGGCGAGCAGGGGAAGCCCCCTTAGCGCTCTGGGAGGAGCAGCACGGGGAGCTCCCCACCCTTGCCCCAAAGCTCTGCCTCCCAGCCCTCTCTGCTCCCCCCGATCCGCTCCCACTGCCCTCAAGGTGCCCTCGGGCCTCTGACTGCAGCGCCAGGTGCTGGGACAGGAGATGAAATGGAGATGTGCATGTGCCATCCAGGGATGGAACGGGGGCTGCGGGTCGGGAGTGAGGTGCACCGGCAGAGCTGGGGGGGGCAGGGCTGGGCTAGCAGGGGCTGCGGGTCGGGAGTGAGGGGCACCGGCAGAGCTTGGGGGGCAGGGCTGGGCTAGCAGGGGGCTGCGGGTCGGGAGTGAGGGGCACCGGCAGAGCTGGGGGGGCAGGGCTGGGCTAGCAGGGGCTGCGGGTCGGGAGTGAGGGGCACTGGCAGAGCTGGGGGGGGCAGGGCTGGGCTAATAGGGGTTGGGGGTCAGGAAGGGCACACACACACTGCCACACGAACCGAGACTCAGTGACACCTCGCCCGGGCATCACATGTGAATTGGAACCAGAGCCCTGGCAGGCACCGGCCCCATCCCCCTTCCCGGGTGCTGAGCCAGCCAGTCCCCCCGGCGGCTCCCGCCGCCTGTCACCTCGCTGTCATCCTGAATTACCAGCGATATTGGGGTCAGGCCGAGGCCCGCCCCCTTCCCCTTCTCCTAGTAACGGCAGAACTCTCTCACATGCCACCGCAGCCTGGCACGCACACGCCACCCCCTCCGGCATGCAAACCGAATCTCCTGGGCTCCCGTGGGGAGACCCGGCCACAAGCCATGAGACTGCGGGTCGCTGAGCAGCCACGCACGGCAGGGGCTCCCCCACGCAGCGCCGGTGGGTACAGCCTGGCATCTGGTGCCCACGCAGCGCAGCATGCCGGGCCCGGGGCACAGCTCCCCGCGGCATGCAGCTGCAGCACGGTGCACGGATGAGAGGACCTCCCCTCCCAGCGCTGTTTGCGGAATGCTGGTGCCAACTGGCGGCACCGGCCGGCACGCTCTGGGGGCACCCCAGCACCCGGGCACGGCCAGTCTCCCAGAGAGGGGCAGGCCAGCGGAGAGATTGGAACAGACAAGCCAGAGTGAGAAGCAGAAAGCAGCACACGGGGATTTGGCAAAGGCACCAAGCCAGGCTGGGAGCAGCCACCCCTCTGCCCAGTCCTATCGGCTGTGCCCTGCCCCTGGGCACGGCCCCCCGCTCTTATCGGCTGTGCCCTGCCCCCCCTCTGCCCAGTCCTATCGGCTATGCCCTGCCCCCGGGCACGGCCCCCCCCTCTGGCCAGTGCTATCGGCTGTGCCCTGGCCCCGGGCATGGCCCCCCCCCGCCCACTCCCATCAGCCGTGCTCTGCCCCCGGGCACGGCCCCCCACACCCACTCCTATCGGCTGTGCCCTGCCCGCGGGCACATCCCCCCACCCACCCAGTCCTATAAGCCGTGCCCTGCCCCTGGCCATGCCCCCCCCCTACTCCTATGGGCTGTGGCCTGCCCCCATCTCTGGCTGCAGCTCACTCCTGGCCCTGGCCGTGGCCCTGGCCCCGGTGCCCGTGGGTACCTGCGCAGGCCGCCCTCATGACGCTGGACAGGATGCCATCGGTCCACTCGCCGGTGCTGAGGTCGTACTCTCCATACAGCTCGCCCAGGGACACGGCCTTGGGGTTCAGGGGGAATTCCTGCCGGTGCCAGCGCCCGCCGGAGGGGAGAGAAGCACATGGACATCACCGGGGCGGGAAGCCAGGGACCCCCGCCCAGCCCAGCCCCGGATCCCAGTCCCCTGCCCCCGCCCCCCGGGCAGTCTGTGCCCCCTGGAGATGGCCCCAGCCCCCCACCCACGGGAGGAGCAGGCCCCGGTCCCGGCAGCACCCACTGACCCGGACGAGGTTGTAGGCGGCGTCCCCGCTCCGGCACAGGGCGGACATGGTGGCCTGCAGGGTGCGCCAGGTGACCGTCTTGCCGCTGCCCGTGTTGCCCACGATCATGGTGGAGTGGCGGGAGTTCTTGGTCTCGTAGAGCTGGATGACCTTGGTGATGGTGAAGGGGATCAGCTGCAGCCCCATCCCCTTCAGCTCCAGCTCGATGGCTTCCTTCAGCTGCAGAGACAGGGCCGGGCCTGGGGTGACGGGCCCCAGCCACAGAGCGGGGAGCCCGGGATGGGGCATGGCCCGAGGCAGAGCCTGGAGCGGCCCACTCCCACTCCCCTCCCGGAGCCGGGGAGAGAACCCAGGAGTCCTGGCTCCCAGCCCCCCTGCTCTAACCCACCAGCCGCCACTCCCCTCCCAGAGCCAGGGAGAGAACCCAGGAGTCCTGGCTCCCAGCCCCCCCTGCTCTAACCCACCAGACCCCACTCGCCTCCCGGAGCCGGGGAGAGAACCCAGGAGTCCTGGCTCCCAGCCCCCCCTGCTCTAACCCACCAGCCCCCACTCCCCTCCCAGAGCCGGGGAGAGAACCCAGGAGTCCGATCCCAGCCCCCCTGCTCTAATCCACCTGCCCCCACTCCCCTCCCAGAGCCGGGGAGAGAACCCAGGAGTCCTGGCTCCCAGCCCCCCCTGTTCTAACCCACCAGCCCCCGCTCCCCTCCCAGAACCAGGAGAGAACCCAGGAGTCCTGGCCCCCAGCCCCCCTGCTCTTACCCCTAGACCCCGCTCCCCTCCCAGAACCAGGAGAGAACCCAGGAGTCTTTGCCTCCAGTGCCCCCCACTCTAACCGCTAGACCCCGCTCCCCTCCCA